ATAATAAATAATAATAGCAACAATAATAACATTAACAATAATGATGATGATTATAATGATGAGGTAAGATTGAAGAATACCGGACCAGCGGACTGACTTTGCCAATGTCTCAACCTTAGGAATTCATAATTTTCCCGTTTTTGATATCTCTCAATGGAGAATCTCGGACCTGTAGATCTATTCATTAAAATTTTGTCAGGGGGGAGACCCCCCTGAATCCCCATGCATCCCCCCTCGTCCACCCCAACCACCCGCCCCACCTACCCCACTTTCTCGTGCAATAATGTACGAGTGGTCCGGTATTCTTCAAAAAAAAAAAAAAAACTAAAGTATGCATAATAAAACTTCGTACTCAAAATTTGACGAAGCCTACACAACAACGGATGACGTAGTACACTATAAACAAAAGAACCTCCACCATCGTCGTCTTCCTGCATGTGTCGAGGAGGCTTTGGTTTGATCGGTCTCTGTGTTTCTAGATCTAGATCTAGATATATATCTAGTATATTCTCAATCTGTTTCCTCAAAATGCCAAAGGTTGTTTCAAAGAGCGTCGTTTGTACTGATACCAAAGATCAAGAAGAGTATCAGGGAGAAAAGCCTCTGTATGTGTACTACTGCTTGTGCGGACAAATGTCCCTAATTTTGGGTAAGATGTAAGAGAAGAAGTTGTCATGTCGAAAAACGTTAACGAAACGATTCTTGTGATAGTGTCAATAGATCTGTCTCTTTTACAATTGTACAGTTAGATTAGATCTAGATCTAGTACTGCAGTTTTACCCCTGAAGCAGTGCATCTGTGTGCTGGAGTGAAAGTAAAAATTTACCATGTCAAGTTTTTAGGCTTCGTTGTTTAAATAATCAAGTTTAGTTACAGCGGAGGGCTGGGTTCATGCAGCCCGATATAGATCTAAGCCAGGCCCAATTTCGACACCTTGCCCTCTTTCCGGTCCCGTGTCAGTCTGGCCCCTGGCTCAGCGCACGCGTGCCAAGCAATCTCCGTTCCATTCGGGTCCCGCGTGGGACCCGCTTTCATGCAACTTACTAAAAGTGTGTGTGCGTCAGTCTGCTTGAGTTTGTGTGTGTTTGTGGCCTACTTCTAGAACCGCCTGCGTTGGTTCGTAACTGAGACATACATCTCTTTCAAAACACGCTAAGTTAGTAGCTCTAGATGTTCGTCCAATGAAATTAAAACAAATTGACCCACTTAGACATGAGGAGCTCTAAAATCAGGAAACCAAGACTTCCATTTTTCTAAAAAATTCAACATTTCCTACCAATTGAAAATGTTTGGTGTGTCCCACACACTCATATGACCATATGCAGTTGCCATAGCTGTAAAACACTTACCAAAAAAAAAAAAGACTTCTCACTCCTTCTACGAACTCTCCCCAGACTGCCCGACAGAGAAACTGCCTTTGAGGAAACGTGATGGAGCCAGGGTCATTGACGGGCAGAAACACGCTCACAAGCTGACCTGTGACCCTGACGAAATTGTCTACATCAAAAGGTAAAGTTTGCAGGACTGGAAAGACAGTTTTTTTCAGATTTATTTTATTTGAGGATCTTTGACTTTGAGTGTGTGTAAACTGGTTCAAGCGTGTTGGTGTAATGTTTCATATAAATTTAGAATCAAGTCAAGGTATTTTTTTATACCGTCTAGCATGCATACATTTATTAACAATTTTTTAGCCGGAAATTCTGTTTGCTATACGTGCATGTTTCTTTTCATGAATATGGTGCTATGACAATGTTCCACATTTTTCTTATAAATCATTCTCTGTTTAAAATTTTGCTTGTGGACTTGGTCTGGTATAATAATATATATTTCAGTTTTTGGCCTCTTAATGAATATTCATGAAATATTATATAATATATCTATCTGTTTTGTTTTTTCTCTTCAGGGCCGAAGGATTGGAAAAGCAGTACAGGCAAAAGTGTAAAAGGTTTGCTACTTTTGTTCCTGTTGTTCTTTTTCTGGTGTCCTCGTGTTGTGTAGCGTGTTTTGTATGTGTGTTGTGTAGCGCGTTTTGTATGTGTGCTGTGTAGCGCTATTTGTGAGCTGTGTAGCGCTATTTGTATGTGCGCTGTGTAGCGTAGTTTGTATGAGAATTTTTCTTGCATATAACGACAGGGACTGAAAGCGTCACCCTGATGTAGAATTTATTGATCTCTGACTTCCGGATCAAACTAAAGGCTTAAATAATGTTAGCTGGTTCTTTTTATATTCCATCTGCACCATGATAACTTCATATTGGACAGTGGTACCGTCATGACTTACTTAAAGAGTTCAGGTGTGTTATCTGACGTTTGACTGCACAGGTGTGGGCTTCTCCTGTACTACCATCACCAAGGCAACAGCTCAGTCATGTTTATCGTCAACGGCGCCCTGAAACGAGAGAGCGAGGGCGTCCGCACCGATGTCTACAGCAAGCTCAGCAAACCCAAGAAGGTGGGTGGTGATGTGTTCTCGGGGGGGGAATTACTTCTCTTACGTCTTACATTACTTTTTCTGGCCTCTGTTATCTTACGGTGTCGAGGGGAGAAGCGAACGTCTTTCTGTTGTTTGTGGACCTGCATGTTTGCCGACAGTCGCGACCCGACCCACGAGCCGTCCGATGCTACTATCGCTAGGCCCACCTGTATTAGTCAATGTGCGAAGTGCGAGGCCTGGCCGACTGCCAGCACCCCCTTTTTCTCCCGTCGGCTTTGTCGACTCTTCGTTTTTGTGCCGACGTCGACGTTTTCGACATTTTTTTTTACCTGAATATGAAAAAAGACGAGGACCTGAATTATCTACTTTCAGTTTTGTCTTCGAGCGGCCCTTTTGAATTTCGTTTGTTAACTGACTGATTGTTCAGATCGTGTGGATTCATTCAAGTCCGACTCACTTGTTCTACTAGATCTAGTTTTATAGATCATTATAGACCTCAATGGAGGATTCATATTCCAAATCTATTGTGTCAAACCCTATTATAGGTTGTGCTGTAATAGTAATGTTGGTAAAAAGCATTTCATCTGGTGCATGAATTATTTATTTAGAATCTGCTCAAAATTTTCAGACAATCTGGTTGAGGCTCACATGCAGGTCTATGTTTGTTGTATTGCCTGTTGTGTGGTTACGTTGTTTTAGTCTAATTTATCTCTGATCCCCACCCACCGCTATTGAGGTTGCCATGTTCACATGGAGGACAAATATATATAATGATGAACTCAATGATCTTTGATGAGAGTCAAGAGATGATTTTTATGTTAACTTGCTCAGGACACATGCCACAAGTGGTGAGTGGAAGTCATCTCAACAATAATAAAGAAGAATTAAGTTTCCAACAAAAAGAGTGTACTCATGTAATCAAGAGAAATAACTCTAAGAATAATCATACAAAAAGATAATACATACTATTAATAATAAATTCAGTTAATTCCCCTTGACCATAATAGACAATGTGATTTTTATTGTAACAACCGCTTCCCCTTTGCAACATCTACGTTTGGCTGACAAATCTTTGAGATTTTTGATGTTTTCATAGCTACCAGTCATTACACAGAAAATATATTTAGCACATTTATTCTTTCGCGTTGGACAGTATGTATTTTTAGTTTTTTAAGAATTATTTCTCTTGCTATAGAAAAGCTATGAATTTTGGAGACTGGATTAGCAAATGATAGTGATAAATGAGGCCCTTAAGTCTCTTGTAGTTGTATCCTGTACATTAACTGTGTTGCACTGGGGTTGTTTGCCATTATTGTATTTCATAAGGCAAAAGTACTTGACACTGTTCTCAATCTCCAAGAAAAACATCACCTCCCTCAAAGACGAGAACCTCTGGAAAGAGTTCCCTCAACTCTCCCACCACATCTCACCATAACAAAGCCAGAAATTAGGAAAACACTTTTGGACAAGAGCAATAAAAACACATATCCTGTAGCACTAAAACATTCTGCCCTTGAAACAATTGATTCCTATCCACCAACATGGATCCACTCATACACTGATGGATCTGCCTTTAAGGCAACAATCAACGCTGGATATGGGTCAGTGATCAACTTGCCCAGTGGGGAAAAAAAAGAAGTCTTCAACTCCAGCGGGTCCTTCTGCTCCAATTTCATTGCCGAACAACAGGCTATCACCAACACAGCAAACTACATCAACTACTTGTTTGACACTAACCCACTTGCTACCACAGACATCATTATATTTACAGACAGCCTTTCAACACTAGAGACACTTGAGAGTGGGACTGATGTGAACAAAGATATATTGCATTTGATTTGGAGTCTACATAACTTGATAAGTGGGCACCACATCAGAGTAGTCCTACAGTGGATTCCTGCCCACACTGGGATACCGGGAAATGAAAGAGCTGATGCTCTGGCAAAGAAAGGAGCTAGTCTCCCTCAGCCTGAAATTCCTACAAATTACACCACCTGCTGCCAAATGATCAAGTCAAACCTCAAAGAAGAGTGGATGAATGATTGGGCCACAGGTACGACAGGAAGGAGGATGTATGGCCAGATGAATAAACCACTGGTCAAAGATCCAATCAATGAGTTGAGGAGGGGAGATCAATCCATAATCTTCCTACTTAGAACACAACATGTACCCCTCAACCAACATCTCAACCGAATTGGAGTAAAGCAGTCTGCTGCCTGTCCACTATGTGACTACCCCTCAGAGACAGTGGAACATCATCTGTTTTTCTGTAGAAAACTAACTGATTTAAGGGGATGTTTTCTTCCCAAGCTACCCCACACATCTAATTGCCTCTACTCCTCAAGACAACAGTTAGAACAAACATGCAACTATTACCGAATGGCATCCTGCAGAAGAGTTAACGCTCAGATGCTACTGGATCGCTAACAACAACAACAACAACATAAGGCAAAAGTAAAAACTCCGTTTCTTGATGAAGAAGGTTGATTTAATAAGAAAATGATATGAGGTCTGCCCTCTCTGGCTTCACTGACAAGACTAAATCATAATGAGCATGAGTACATGTGGTTAAAACAGGAAGGAGGAGTGAGTAAAGATCACCAAGATCAGACAATCTTTGTTGTAAGGGTAGATAAAATAAAAGTACAATTACAGGGACATAATTCAACTTAATCATGGTAATATTATTATAGGGACCAACAATCCAGGATTTATTGTTGCCCTTTTATATATTGATAAAAGCAATCTAATAGTCTAACAACAAACTGTTGAGCATGAATTTATGAGGGAGCCTGTGAAATCAGGTGTTTTTCAAAACAATTACATCAAAGAAACCAGCATTTTTCTGAGCTTTGGGCATTTAAAAAAATAGTTTTCCTTTTTTAAGGGTTGCCAGTTTTCCGGCTTAGCTTAGCTGGAAATCCGGCTTTTTGAAATCCTCCGGGTTTTTCGGCCGAGATCGGTGGAGCCGGGAAAATTTTTCCTGCCTGGTCGGCAAATTGTAACCCGACATCGGCTAGGTCTGAAAGAAGACCAGAACGGGTCGTTGCAACAACTGTATCGTGACATATTTTTTTTAATGCAGTAAAATGTGTGAGAAGGGTTGGGGGGGGGGGTTACTTCGCCAATGTCCACCATTTCGACCAGCCATGTGGATAGTCAGTTGTTTTTGGTTCGTAAAAGTGTCAGCTATGTGTTGTTGTTTTTTTCTTTCCTCAGTGGGTGGTTGGCGGGTGCTGGTGTAGTTTGCTTCTTCTTTCCTATCAAACATCTATTGTGGGTGGTTGGCGGGTGCTCTGGTGTGGTTTGCTTCTTCTTTCCTATCAAACATCTATTGTCCTGATCTCTTCTCCTTCTTTTTTGTGTGTGTTACTCTCTTGTAACACCTCTAATCTTCGGCACTTATATGACCTTACTGTGTTGCAAGTGCTGTAAAACTCTTATTACTAAAACTGAAAAAAACAAACTTTCTTTCTTTCTTTCCTCAGGTGACCTTGACAAAGCACACAAAGAACATGGGCAAGTTCAGCTCCGTGACTGTCTCCACGGTGGATGAGGAGGAGGAGGAACTGGAGGCTGTGAGTACAGGGAGGGAGGAGGGGAGGGAGGAGGAGGAGGGGAGGGAGGTGGAGGAGGAAAAGAAAGAGTGCAGTGCTTTGGGGTTTTTTTGGTTGTCTTTTTAAGGTGTTACCAGTATGCACTGTACGCTTCCCAGGAAGTTGAGATTGTTTCAGAATGCTATCAGGTTAGATGGGGTAACAGTTGAGTGAACATTTGTGCTATACAAATACTCTCTATTATTATTATTATTATTATTAACTTTTATTATTTTAATTATTTTAAATATTATTATAATACTTTTTGTGCTTTTAGACATAGAGGGCTTTATGGTGAAATGTGTTGTACCCAAACAGTGAAATGTGCAGAAGAAGCTGATTATTATTGTGAGTAGTTTGCCGGTGCTCTAGTGGGGGTTGCTCCTTCTTTCTTATCGGACATCTATCATCCTTATCTCTCCTCCTTTTTAGTGTTTGTTACTCTCTTGTAACACCTCTGATCTTCGGCACGTATATGACCTTTCTTTAAACAAATTTTTTTTCACTTCTATGACCTATTTAGGTTGTGAGTGTTCGTAAAACACTTACTAAAACTCTAAAGTAAACTTTGCCACGACTGAAATTGTCTTGTCTGTTTTTCAGAAAGAGATTGCGGACTCTTACGCTGCGAATGCCAAGGTCATTGAGAAGCAGCTGATGCGGAAGGGCATGAGCAAGAGAAAGTTGATGGAGCAGGTAAGGGTTAGGGGCAGGTAGAGCTGGCTTGCTGGAGAAAAAAAACCCCCCCCCCCCCCCATAACATACACGCACTCATGCACACACACACACATACACACACACACACTCACACACACATGCACTTACTCACTCACACACACATACACACATTCACATCAACATACACATACATGCACTTACATCCGCGCTGACACACGCACATACACCAAGTTCACACCAACGTACACATGCGTACAACCAAATGACAGCAGTGGAGAAAAACATTATGTGTATGCTTTATATATTTGTCTCTGTCCTAGGGGTATAATGTAACATCCTTTGAGGCACAACCAAGGGAAATAATATATAAATTACACCTTTTTGATCTCATGGGGGGAATTTGGGTACAGAAATATGTAACATTTAAACATACAAGTACAGTCAAACCTGCCCTGACGGCCACCTCTATAAGACGGCCACCTGTACAAACGGCCACTTTCCATTTCCCCCCTTGCGTTTTTTCTATATAATTTAACTGTGTAAAACGGGCACTTGTCTAACGTGGCCGCGGCCTACGTAATTTAACACACAACCCCTATCACACTAAGCAATAACACCTGTCTTAGACGGCCACCTTAGTGACTCCATTACGTTTTGTCATAAATTGTGCATTGGCCCCTGGCGTTGTGGGCGAGCCGTCATAATTCAATCACCTGTCGTTGTTGTTAGGTAGTCCCTCCAACCGATCTTGCTGGGTTGGCCTCTCCCACTGTTGACCAATAGCTACCAATTTTCAGCTGCTGGTGAGGTAAGCGTGTGATCCCTCATAACCCATAAGCCCCGCCCAGAACTCATACACAAATAGTAAGTAAGATGAGTGGTCACTGTTTACCCAGGCTGTAACAAAGTAACAATGGACATCAACATGAACTTGTGACAGAAGCATCGCTCGTTCTCCGAGTGGTGGCGAACCACGTGTTTATTTTAACATGGCTCTCGGTTTTCCTCGTCTGATACATTTCGTTTTATTGTCACCCTTGTGCAAAATCAGCAACAAAATAAAAATTGCAAACAAAATACAAAGCAACAACAACAACAACAACAACAACAACAATGCGGCTACTTTTGATTGGGACCTCAGATGGGAATGGTTTGTTTTCTTCATCTTGATCAGTCCTGCCTAAGATGGCCACCTGTCTTATACGGCCACTTTTCTCCTTGACAATGGGTGGCCGTCTTACACAGGTTCGACTGTATACAATTACATAGAATACCAAATGTGCAGCATTACACCAGTGCAGAACAATCAAGTCTTACGAACACACCATTGCCAAACAGTTGATTTTCCTTCTTCCCCAGGGCAGTGCTACTGACAGAAGTGTCTTTAGGCCACTATAATGTCTTTATTTTACCCCTGCCATTGATGGTGTTGGGGTGGGGAGGGGGTAGGTAGATGTATCAAACAGTTCAATTCCCCCAACAGGGCAGTGCTACTGACCGAAGTGCCCTTAGACCATTCCCAAAGGGGGGGATATTGACATATATTCTTATGCACAGTAGAATTGTAAATGTGCTGATTTATCAATGTCATGCTCATACTGTGCCGGAACAACATAGGGGGAACTGCTGCTTTTTCTTTCCTTATCCTTACCCTCTTCTTCTTTTGTATGTTTGTCACTCTCTTGTAAACTGCTATTTCCGGGGTGCCTTTATAGTGGAAGCAGACTTTGTGCTGTTGAGGCTAGAGAGGTGATTCTTTGTGAACATCCGCCCCTTGGCACTCATATGACCTTATGCAGTAGCGAGTGTCGTAAAACCTTTCTATAAATAACCAACTTATCCCTCCTCCCCCCTTTTTTTTTTGTTTGTTTGTATGTTACTTTCTAATAACAGCTGAAATGTTTGGCCCTAGAATGTCCTATTTGTATTGTAAGTGCTGTAAAACTCTTACTGGAACTTTCTCTCCTTTTCAGGCTGAGGAGGAGGCAAAGAAGATGAGACCCAAGGGAACTTTGATTGACAAGTGAAACTGGACATCTATTGGCTTGTGTGTGTGTGCGTGTGTGTGTGTGTGTGTGTGTGTGTGTGTGTGTGTGAGAGTGAGAGAGAGAGAGGGTGTGTGTGTGTGTGTGTGTGAGTGAGAGAGAGAGTGAGAGAGAGAGAGTGTGTGTGTGTGTGTGTGTGTGTGAGAGAGTGAGTGAGAGAGAGAGGGAGTGTGTGTGTGTGTGTGTGTGTGTGAGGTGTGAGTGAGAGAGAGAGTGTGCATGTGTGTGTGCATAAGAGCTTTTGTACGTTTGTGAGCATGCATATGTGTGTACATGAGCATACCAGTGTGTGTGCATGCATGGGTGTGCGTACGTGGGTGCATGCGTAGGTGCATGCATGCGTATATGGGTGTGTGTGTGTGTGTGTGTGTGTCTCTGTGTATGTATGTGAACTTCAAATGTGTTGGTATGTGTGTGAGCATGCATGTATGTGTACACGAACACACATATGTGTCCCTGTGTGTGTGTATGAGAGCATACAGTCAGTGTGTATAAGGGGTGTGGGACAGACAGACAGACAGATTGACAAACAATATGCGTGTGTGTGTATGAGAGCATACAGTCAGTGTGTATATGGGTCTGGGACAGACAGACAGACAGATTGACAAACAATATGCGTGTGTGTGTGAGCACATTCTGTACATAACATCTGAATAAAAGCATCATGTAAAAAGTTGTTTGTCTGCAATCATTCCCATACTGAACAAATGACTTGAGTGTGGGTGGTTTGTGGGTGCTTTGCTGGGGTTTGCTTCTTCTTTCCTATCTTAAGTCCTGCCTGGATCAGTAACAACTACATCTTAAGTCTCGCGACCCCAGTGCTTTCTTGTCGTGTCTCCATTTTAAAAAATTTAAACGGTGAATATGTGACTTCTTCTTAAGCTCACTCTTTGTTATGAACTGTTTTCACTGTTACTGTTATTAAAAATGGAGATTTACTACAAGAAGGCACTGAGGTCGTGATCTGCTGTCCTTATCTCTCCCCTTTTTCACCTTGTATGTTACTCTCTAGTAAAACCTCTAATCTTCATCATTTATATGACTCTCTAGTAAAACCTCTAATCTTCATCATTTATATGACTCTCTAGTAAAACCTCTAATCTTCATCATTTATATGACTTTTTTGTTTTGCAAGTACTGTAAAAAGCAAGTGCTGTAAAACTCTTACTCGCTCATACTAAACTTGCAAAATTGTCTACTCCAGTTGTAACTTGTGTATTTGTCAGCCTGTAAAAGAATGCATTTGAAACGTTGTGTTATAGTGGTATAGTTATAGGAGAAATGACAAAGATTTGTTGGACAGACAAGGGAACTAAGCAAGAAGTCGGTGCCAAATTAATGTCAAGAAGATCATCACAAATTCTGAACAGAATCAAATGTGTCACGACATGGTGGAATCAGGCGTTGGTCCATTTTTGGGCACGTGGAGTTATTGGTATCATCTGGAAGCTGATTCATTTGCCTTGCTTTCAGTGGAAAAGTATCCGTCTAGCTTGAATAGGAGTCGAGATATTTGCGAAAGAAGGTGGGGTCGCCTGGTTTCAGTGGTTAAATCAATGGGAAAATGGCCTCCAAAGTTTGGTAACTTCAATTGCTTAAGAGTCCTTGAAAACTGAAAATTACATATATTGTGCCTTTAAACAAGATTTTTCAGTAAAAATCACATGGAAATGTGGTTTCATTTGAACGTAAAATTAAAAGGTGTTTAGCTAAAAAACCAAATTTCCTTAAAATTGCCAAACTGGTGCAAAAATGCCTTTCTCTTCAATTTCATTATTTTGACTAGATCTAACGCCTGATTTCACCACGATACCTCACGAATTAAAATGAGAAAACTGCAAATTATTTTGGCCTCATAAAGTGACTCACTTCAAAAACAACTACTGGGAGTTGGGAGGTAAACGAGTAGTCCACTGTATCATGTCGCCACGCGGTGGAATCAGGCGCTCGTCAATTTGTATGCATGTGGAGTTTTTGGTATTGTAGGCCCGATATTTTAGCCACACTCGGACTACCAGGCGAATTTTTCCAACCACGGAATGCCCAGACAACAGAACCCGATTCCATGTTTCTACAGCTAGTAATTATAAAAGACAATGCGAAGTATGGAACCATCGGTTTCCAACCACCACGGGAGTCAGACTTCCGATGTAGCCTACCCAGCAATCAACGGGATATGTGGTGAGGCAGCGTGGTGGAATCAGGCTCTCGTCAAAATAATCAAAGTGAAGAAACTTACATTTTTCCGCAGGTTTGTGAATTTTTATCAAACTTTTGTTTTTTTGCTTAACGCCTTTCACGCCCCTTAAAGAACTCATTTCTGTGTGGGTTGTTCTGAAAAACGTTGATTAAAAGCTCAAAAGATGTAAATTTTCAGTTACCATGGACTCTTATTCTTAAGCTAAGGAAATAACTAATCTTTGGCGGTCATTTTCTCAGTAATTTTACTTCTGAAAACAAGTGACCCCCACCTCCTACTTTCGCAAATATCTCGAGTTGTATTCCAGATAAATGGATATATTTTTCTTCGAAATAAAGACAAGTAAACAAGCTTTAAGATGGATACCAATAACTCTACATCCCCAAAAATTGACGAGAGCCTGATTCCACCACGCTGCCTCACATATGTTTCTGTTCGCCACGACGCGCAGAGAAAACCACTTCAGAGACCGTATGATTCATGATGGTCTATATAAGATCTTGGATACTCATGACAAGTAAATACGATGTATTTCACTCTGGATCTGAAAGAACGCGAAGAAGAAGTGTCAGTAAATTGATCGTTTGAAGCCAGAATACATGTCAAAAGCCAACACTCAACTTGGGGGAGAGTTTTTGAACACCCTGACGCATCCAGGACGTACATACAGTCCGGCCTCCTGACAGGTTTTGACCTGCAGGAATAAACAATTATTTCGTGCATCGTACGATCCGCACTGTGCACAAAACTGGGAGGGAGGGGGGGGGGGGGGGGGGGGGGGGGGTTGATGTAGGGCCGAGATTTTAGCCCATCGCGTCCCCAAAAACCTGACTAGTTTTGGGGGTGACCTCCTGGCCAACTGATTGTGCACGGGTTTCAGTTTTTCCCCGTGCACTGGTGAGTACAAACTAGATCGACCAGACCTGAACTCTCAACGGGATACATGTATAAAATAATTTAAGAAAGAGCGTCAGTCGTACCGAGAGTACAGACAAGACACAGCAGTCGCCCGGCGCCCGGGGACCCACTAGATCTACGTCTTACTACAACCCAAGCCTTGGAAGTGAAAGGTAACAGTAGTAAAAACTACAGTATCATCTTAAAGCTTGTTCATTTATCTTTCTTTTGATAAGAAAAATGCCCCTCTCTCTCTCTCTCTCTCTCTCTCTCTCTCT